AAAAAAAAAAAAAAAAAAAAGAAGTGTTCAATCAATACTCAGCAAGGACGTCTTATTTAAAAACAACCAAACAACTCCCTTCTATTATATTAAAAAGTCAGCTGAATTCAGGCATTCATATGAAAACTGCCCTGCATCTATATTCCACTTACACAAATTTTTAATTACCTGAATTTGTCAAAGGCTACAAAAGAGTCCAGTCTGCTCTTTCACAGGTCCTAAGTTCCCATGGGAAAGATATTGCTGAGGTCACATATCAAAGCACTGTTTAAGGATTTTTCCCTTTGGCGGGATGAGTGTTTAGGGTAAGGAGAGGCCTACTCATACACGCATACACACACACACACACACATACACACACACACACACTAAAATGGCCAGTATCTTACAACATGCTTAAGATACTGAGGAGCTCCAAAACTTTGACAAGTGGAGCTTAGTGCCCTCATAACAATCAGAAAACTTATTTTTGATACTGAATTATTCCACTGCAGTTCACTTGGTTACATACACTGAATCTCAAAATTGCAGATAAAACCTTCTGAGAACTAGGAATACTGATGGACTACCACCAGGCACCTCTCCTCTCACTCCCAGGCTTATTCAACCCCTTCGATCCCCATGCCCTGGAATCAAGTACACAGGTCAACTTTGGGGAGTTGCTAGATGCAGATATAAATAGAATTTACCCAGATATCATCACTAATATTGGCACCAACCAACTCACATAGATCAAAACAATTATCGATAGCAGATTCTGGGAAGGCATATGTGGTTTTTAAAAATTAGATTTTCATCTCCAAATTAAATCTTTTTTTTAAATAGGAGTCTCCAAAGAAAGAGATGAAACAAAGCTTTGGGAAATTTTTCCAAGTTGTTGACAACAAAAGGCCACTAAAGGCCACCTAACGATTAGCATTCATTACTGTTCATCCTGTCTTATATAAGTCATCAGATAGCTAGCTCTTGCACTGGCAAAGTTTTACATTTTTTTCTGAGGGAGCCTTTGGTACTAAAAGCAAGGAATAAGTCAAATAAGGCAACAACAATAAAAAATTAGTTTGGAAACTCTTCCTTCCATCTTTCTTTCCATCTTGAATGTGTAATGTCCAAAGCAGATATCGGTTCAATTCTAAATTATTCATGTTAATGGATAAATATTGGCAGAAAGGTGCTGATAATAAAAAATGGGCTAAAATCGAAAAAACCTATTTTGGTTTTGGAATATGTTTTCAGCTTATTTACCGTCTTAATTATTCCTAGTATCAGCTAATATTTGCATTCGCTTGCAATCTCTAAGTACATAGTAACTGGCCACTTTGGGAGGTGCTCTGAGGCAAGCTGGGTCAATAGTGGAAATTAGAGCGGTCGGGTATTCAGCCTGCGGAGGAACAACATCAAGTTCATTTATTTTACAGTTTTGTTCAGCCTTCAAAATATCGATAGACTAGCACAGCAGGTTGGTTACTAAACTTTAAAAGAACTACTTGAAAAACAATGAAGACAAAGAGTATAATTAATTCTTCATTGTTTGCGCATAATGTATTCATTTGTAAATTATGCACAGCGAATGTTTAACTACCTCTGATTCTCCCTAGCCACCCAACTTCCGTCCCTGAAGTCTTCTCCCCATCAGGAATGCCATCTCATTTACTAGGAAGAAAATGTTCTAAATGTTTTCGAAAGTTACATAGCGGGTGGAGGGGGGGGAGTTACATAGCATAGAAACTATTCTTTAAATATTTAGGGGTTAGCTACTCTTTTGGACCAGTCTTACCGCCACCTCTTTCTCTACTCTGTTCTTTTCCACCTTTGAACTAGATTCTGAAAGACAAAGGGATCCAGCCGCCTCGAAAATCTCCTAAATATACAGTACTAGAGGCCAACGACTGAAAAATTAGCAGCCTGTGAATTTCTAAGGAAAGCGTTACGTAGGACGTATAAAAAGACAAGGAAAATAAAAGTCAACATACTGCTAATTCTCGACTTTGCATTCATGAAAAGCTGCCTGGGAAGTTTGTGGGGAACCTCTTCCATAAAATTCCACCAGTCAGCTTCTTTCTACTTTCAAATTTTTACATCTGTATTGTACCCAGAGAAGCCACCTAGGTTAGACAGAAAGACTACCACGAGGAGGGAGAGACTCTGAGCGCTGGTCCTTGTGAGCCGACAAGCTAAAAATACGCCGGCCCAGTAAACAAATCCCATTCCATCCCGACCAGAGCCACACCGTTAACCTAGTAATTATGAGAAGAGTGAGATCACGCAGTCCCCGGCTTACTCATCATCAGCTTCTAAAGTTTCCATCGGCTCATGACAACTTTTTTTTCTAAAGTTCTTAAGACTGCCCTAGAATCCGTCAGCCTCCGTCTCTCACTCTCTCACACACACACCTTTTTCTCGCCTTTCCTCCATTACCTTATGCACCTTAGTTTGGCTATCAATAGGGAGAATAAGCTTGTTTGCTTTTCATTTTAGTTTTATATTGAGATTTTAAATGAACTTCATCCTACTGTAGGGGTAGTAAACTGCATCTTAATCACCTTAAAATTCCACCATCCGTCCCGAAAGTCTAGCTGACAAAGGGGGACCGCCCAAACTGCCCAGCACAGCTCAGGAAGGGAGGCCGGTAGCTGGAGAGCGCGGGGTAGGAACGCAGGACGCAGGTGAAAGGGAGGAGGAAACGGAGGAAAGGCTGGGACGAAGCAAGGAGCAGCCAGGGCGAGAAGGGAGTGCCGGGGGAGACGGCTTCGGCTGAAACGGATTCAGAAAGGAGAAAGGGGGCAGTGGCGATGAGAGGAGCAGAGTTTGGGAGTCTGAGAAGCCGGGAGGGGCGGGAGCAGACGGGGGACGGTGTCAGGGCGGGGGGCTCCGTTACCCTCGCGGCTCCCGGGGCAAGGCCCTAGGCCGGGGCGGAGCGCGGGGCCCGGCCGCCTCTCCTCATTCCTCGGCAGTGACCCCGGGGTCCGGCCGGCCCCTCCCCCGACGGCGATGGAGGCGGAGGCGGTGGTGGAGACTGCGACCGCAGCTGTTGCTCCGCACAGGATCTGGAGCTGGAGCCAGAAGGGACTGAGCGGGACTGGCTTCCCCAGCGGCTTTTTGCCCGCTCCACACCCGGTCGCCACTCCGGCTCCGGCGGCTGGTTCAGGATCGGTGGCTTTCGGCTGTCCGGCCGGAAACAAGCGCCAGTTTCCGGCCGGAGCGGGTTGGTGGTGACACCCAGGCCGCCCCCGGGCCTCCTCCCGCCCCGCCCCGCCCCGCCCCGTCGCAGCCCCGCCCTTAGCGCTGCTCCCCGGGCTGCGGCCAGTTTGGCGCTTGCCCCGCGCGTGACCCCTTGTTTTCCTGACCTGCGTTCCTAAAGCTCCTGGTCTGGAGCGTTCTTGAACCGGAGCTGGTGGGGTACAAGGTGGACTCAGGACTCTGGAGTAGAATCAGTTGGCTTCAGCCGTTGGAAAGCAGCTGAAAGGGGTGGAGTAGTTGTAGAAAGGTGAGAGGGATGAACATACCTCAGAATGAAAAGACTGAAATTCTAGTAACTACACAATCGTTCTGGAATGACCGGAGGAAAATTCGCTTCTTCCAGACCAGTCCCCACCCAGTTATGTATTGCTCTTGTTCCTTCACTCTTGAAGTGAACATACCCTTCTCTGTAAACACACTTAATATTTATTTACTTGCATAATAATGATCCCCTGTTGACGCATTTGCTTTAGACTTCCTAACACAGTAAAAAAAAAAGTTACATGGTGTGTTTGTTTGTAATGTCTTTTAAAACATTGTGGCATCATTCAAATGTGTATTTTATCCCTGTGATGTGTTTCATTGTGCTCAGTGATACACGGGGATGCAAAAATTAACAAGCATAGTTTCAGACATCAAAGGTTTTACAATTTAGTAAAATAGATAAAACTATATTAGATGTAGCAGAACTTGTATGTGTCCTATGTAAGTGACAATGAGCTGTGGCTGTGAGAACATAAGCCATCCCTGCCACATAGTAGACCTTCCCTATTTGTTAAATGAATAAATATTAGGCCTGGTTGGGCTGTTTCTAAAAAGAAAGGCCATTTAATAAATACCTCTTTATGAGAAACACAAAACTATGTCAAAGACATCTGAAATTTTAATTCAGATTCCTAACATTGTAGCACCTGGTCTGCATATTCAAAATAATGTTTATTGTCTAATTGGGCCCATTATTCCTATGTAAAAATAAATATTCTAGTCAACTTTTCTTTCCCCTCACTTCCTCAGTTTCTGAGGGGGAGGTGTGGGGAATACACATTTTAGAATTGTCTAGCTCAGAATAGGAAACTAGCACCTGAAACAGGAAATTTCCTAAACATCTGTATCTCTTAGGGATGCACCTGGGTTTGGAATTGAAAATTTAGGGCTGGGCCCAAGGGCGCCCATACATACTAAGCTGACTAAGGCCAAACAGGTCCGAGTGCCTTGCATGGGGGTATATCCAGGACTTACAATACAGGTTGACAAGTAAAGTCGTTTGGCCTGGGCTTCAAGCATTTGGGGACCACAAATTTTAGCTGCCATTTAGTGGCAAATTTGAGGAGGAGAGCAGGATGAGATTTGTTCACCTAAATTGACTCTAACTGAACTGAACTGGAGAGGTACAGGGTGGACTCTTAGGACTCTCGGTAGAATCAATTGGCTACAGCTGTTGGGAAGGAGCTGAAAGGGGTGTAGTTCTAGAAAGGTGAGAGGGATGAAAATACTTCAGAATGAAAAGACTGCAGTTCTAGTAACTCTACATAATCATTCTGGAATGATTGTGACAATCACTGATCACACCTACCCTTTGCTAGATAAAGCTTGGGTGGGAGCACAGATCTGTAGAAGAGGGGCCTCACAATCTGGAAGTTGCCTTGTTTCACCACAGCTATCCCGAACCAGGTCGTACCCTTAGAAGTATGTCTTTCTAGCCTTCACACCACTGCCACAGACTTCTTAAAACTCTCTACTCTCAATCTAAGACAGACTTTTTCTCTTGGCAGTGACCATAAAAAGGCTCTGGATTTGAAAGCTGGGCCAAGTTGCTGGTCAAAGTCATTCAAGTGACCACACTTTATAGGCTTGCCTGGAAATTTAGGGGCCAGGAAGTGACGGGGTCGCAGTTGCTTTGTGCCTGTTTCTTGCTCTGACCATCCATCATTCATTGTTGTTTATGCAGTTGCTCAATGGGCTGCTTGTCTTTGGTCAGCCCAGGCTGTGTGGGTAGCAGTGTGGTCAGCTGGGCTGGAAGCCAGGCCACCTGTGTTCTGGTCCCAGCTCAGCCAGCCTCTAATCCATTAAGTGACTCCCTTCTCATTCCTGTGTGTCAGTTTCTCTGCCTAGAAACTAGAAGCTTCTTCTCTAGTAATATGCAGCCATTTAGGCTGGCACTAGGTTGGATGCTCAGAGGCAGCTGTCTGACATAGACATTGGCAGCAGCCAGAACACAGTTGACTATATTTTGCTGCCAGGTAGAATAGTAAGGGAAAAAAGGTAAAGGCAGCAGAGAAAATCCTACCAGTATACACAGGGCCATACACCCTCAACTGCTGTTCTGTCCAAAGTTATTTTCTACTCTAGAGATCTGTTTTTGTTTACTTATTCTAAGGGCTGCTTCAAGGAGCTCCATGAGCTTTTACATCACTTTAAGCAAGAGCAGAAAAACCAGAGCTTTGCATTTCACCAGAGAAACTAAAAAAAGAGACTATTTCAATATTGGGGCTAATGGCTAGAGTTGGGGAAAATGTTCAGAGAAAGCTTGTAGCTAGGCAGGGGAAAAAATTATTTACATTTATATGCTTTTGTGGCGGAAAAGAAAACCAAACTAAAATAACTTCCTTTCCCCTGCCACCAATATAATTTAGACCATTGGTTCTGGGAAGTTTTAAAAAACTACATACCATACATGCCTAGGAACCTCAGACTGACTCCGAATTCTTGGGACTAAAGACCATGAATCTATATTTTAAAAATAGATATAGATATATAGATATACATATGGGGCTCAGCCAGGCATGGTGGCTCCTGCCTGAAATCCCAGCACTTTGGGAGGCCAAGGCAAGAGAATGGCTTAAGCTCAGGAGTTTGAGACCAGCCTGGACAACATAGGGAGACCCCATTTCTACAAAAACAAAAATATTAGTCGAGCATGGTGGTACATGCCTCTGGTCCCAGCTACTAGGGAGGCTGATGTTGGAGGATCACTTGGGCCTGGGAGATGGAGGCTCAGGGAGCCAGGATTGCACCACTGCATTCCAGGCTGGGTGACAGAGCGAGATGTATCTAAAAAAAAAAAAAAAAAAAGAAAGAAAGAAAGAATCCTGGGGGGGTGGGGAGGTTTCATAAGATTAAACACCTAGTAATTCCACTCCCTTGGAATTTAGCCAACAGAAATGAAATATATGTGTCCACAAAAAACTTACATGTTAATATTCACTATAGCTTTATTCATAATAGCTCCAAATTAGAAACATTTCAAACATTCATCAACAGAAAATTTGTTACTTGTATTGTTCCTACAATGGAATATGATTTTAAAAGATAAATGACCATTAAACACAACAATATGAATGAGCCTCGGACTCATTTCTGCTGAAAAAAAAAAAAAGCCATTTGTGTGAAATTAAAGAACCGGCAAACGTAATCTTGAAGATAAAAATCAGAACTGCGGTTAATTAGGGGGAGGTGACGATCAAATAGAAAGGGACATGAGGGAACTTTCTGAGGTGATGAGAATGTTCTATATCTTGATAAGGATGGCTGTTACACACAGACATCAAATTGTATCACTATATGTTAATTTTACCTCAGTTTAAAAAAATCCAGGATTTCTTGATGACATTTAACCAGGTTAAACATTTACATTTACATTTACTTGTGGATTATTTGATTGATATTTGCTTCACCCATTAGATTCTGAAGCTCCATTAGCTAAGTTTACCATTTTATATATAGTATCTAGCATAGTATCTGACCCATGGCAGTCATTCATTCAATATCTATTAAGCGAATGAATGAATGGTCAGCCAATTGGCAGTTGAAAGCACTGCTTTGGTAGATTATCATTTCATATTTAGCCTCTTGTAACAGTATAGCTGAGCCTTCCTGTTCCCAAGTCATTTATCTGTTTGCATACCATTGCTAAGTTTTTTTTGTTTTTGTTTTTGTTTTTGTTTTTTTGAGATGGAGTCTGGCTCTGTCGCCCAGGCTGGAATAAGTGGTGCAAACTCAGCTCACTGCAACCTCCACCTCCTGGGTTAAAGCAACTCTTGTGCCTTAGCCTCCTGAGTAGCTCGGATTACAGGTACATGCCACCATGCACCGTTAATTTTTGTATTTTTAGTAGAGATGTTGGCCAGGCTGGTCTCAAACTCCTGACCTCAAGTGGTCCATCCGCCTCAGCATCCCAAGGTGATGAGATTACAGGCGTGAGCCATGACGCCTGGCCACTTCCTAAATTATTTCATGGATGCTTTCTCTCTTTTCAAAAACTCTAGCAAACATGTTGGTTGCTTAAGCAATGTCCATCCTCCTTCTTCCTCCTTGCGAATAAAACCTTGATTAGGTTCAGGTAGCCATCCTGCTCTACACAGCTTCAGGGTAGACTGGCCTCACTAGAGGGGGTGGGGGCTGAGTGGGAGAAACATGGGTGAAACACTAATGGGTCATGGGGCTCCATTCCCCTTGCCAGTGCTTGGTCTAGGCATGTGATAGGGTTCTGACCAAGGTGAGATATGAGAAAATCTGCTGGAGCCTTTTGGGAAAAACTTCTTTGCTCTTACAAAGACACAAAAAGAATAAACTATTTTCTTCTGCTGCTGCAAGTTGTTGGATTTGAAAATGTGCTGGTCAGAGGCCAGACTGAGATACTAAGGATGACAGAGCAAAAATATTAAAAGAATCTGGGTCTTTGGTGACCTGCTAAATTGACTAATGCCAGCATGGTCCAACTTGAAATTCTTGTTATATGAGATAAGAGCATCTTCTTTATTTTTTTAGTCATTTCAAATTTAGTTTTTCTTTTACTCTTAACCAAAATAATCTCTACTAATAAAATGTCATCAACGACACCTCAATGTCTATAGGATAAAGTGAAAATTCCTTAATCTCCTTTGTAAGAGGGAGCCCAGCCTGGTCCTAACTCCATATCTAAATTTCTGTTTCTACATTAGTGTTCTACTT